CCTTCTACAAACTTACCATATAGCCCCCACTCTTTAGGCTCTCTGTATATGTGCAGCTAGGGAAATAAAGGCCTAAAAGGTGGATGTGCCCTGTATTTGGAATCGTTTTACAACTCAGATATACACAAAGTCATGAACAATCTGAGAACCAATGACTGCAATATAGCAGGCACTATTATTGTTGACCTTACAGTAATTGTACGAGTCTGCATGGATACATTTCTGACTTGGCACAATATACAGCAACATACTTTTGCAGAGATCCTAACCTGAAAAAAAAAGTAAATTCAGGGAGGTGCCCTTCTCATTTCAGGGAGATGCCCTCTGACCCCCCCCCCCCTGCACCCCCCTGATATGATGGCAGAGAGTAAAGAAGCTAATGCTTCCCGTGCTATCTGCTGGGATTTTTTTTTATTCTGACTGCTGCTGCCATCAGAATAAAAAAATAATAATTTTAAAAAAGACGGCATAGAAATGAATAGCTAGATTGCTATTGGCTGTTTGCAATAGCCAATAGGAAGCTGCCTATTGCACCTGCCCTCTGCTGCTGTCAATCAGCAGAGAGAGGACCTGATGAAGAACTTCAGGGCCACCTCTGCTGATTGACACAGCAGCAGTGGGCGGGTGCAATAGCTAGTCTGCTATTGGATATTGCAAATTCTTTTGCACGCTGATGGCGGCCGGCGGCTCCGATATCTGAGTAAAAAAAAAAACAGACAGCAGGGAAAGGTTTACTCTGCTAGATCGATCAGAGTAAAGCTCTCCGGGAGAAAATGTTTCTCTCACGGTAGTCCGGGAGAGTTGGGATGTCTGCTTTTGCAAAAAGCTGTTCTTGAGCTCCAGATCAGTGACTTTGCCTAGGCTGAGATGATGTCATCAGTCTGCTGCAAGGAAGGAGGAAGAAGTTTCTCAGTCTTCTCTTCCCAACAGTGACCAGACTACAACACTGTAACTTTGTAGAAAGTCACAAGGTGAGAGGATGCAGCAGGAGCTGATCTGTGTCAGACATTTCTCAACATAGCCAAGAACTGTACAGACATCAGGGTTTACATTGGTTGTAACTTCTCTGGGACAGCATAATAATCCAGGAAGTAGATGATGCCTGGACAAAGTGGACAAAGATGGCTCCATCCTTCTGGAGAGTAAAGCAGATGAAGGCCCACTTAGGAGGAATATTGTGATATCTGGGAGAGGTAATGAATACCTGGAAGTGTTAGAATTACACATTACTTAGCATGCTGTACTTAACAAAGTGAAGGTTGGCTATCTTATGGGGACCATCTGGTAATGTAAATTGTGTCTAAGCAGTAACCCTGAAAGACCTACCATTTGTCATGAATTCCTTCTAGAATATAGCAGTGCAGTTCCTGACATACGGCTGTGCCTAGGCACTCTGTAGCCTCATAGCTGGATATCTGCAGTGTGATATCACTGAATGCACTGCTTGGGCCTCTCAGGAGATTTGAAATGCGATTTGGTGATGTCACTGCTATACTGCTCATTTGTCTCCTTGCTGGAGAGGAAGCTGTACCTGAGGACCTGCAGTGCAAAGATCTCCCTGCTTCCTTCATGCTATGGATCTGGGCTTCCTCCACCTTTCCTGTTGCTTCTCCATCATTACCTGAGATCACCAATCATCAACTCTGGCATCAAGAAGGTGGCTGCACAGCCAGAATAAGATATGGCAAGTCAGAAATGGGGAATAGATCAGTTTCCAGGAACCTACAGTCAATACTAGTGACTAGTCCTTTGCCCATATGCTCGCCCACATTGTCCACAGTACAAGCCCTCTTTTGAAATGGAAACAAAATCCCCAAAACCTCCGATACCAGGTCCACTTCAAGAAGCCAGACGGGATGTGCATCTATTGACCATCATGAAAAGTGTCAGTATCACTGATAGGTGAACTGGGTACCTGATAAGTGAACTGGGTACCTGATAGGTGAACTGGGTACCTGATAGGTGAACTGGGTACCTGATAAGTGAACTGGGTACCTGATAAGTGAACTGGGTACCTGATAGGTGAACTGGGTACCTGATAGGTGAACTGGGTACCTGATAAGTGAAGTGGGTACCTGATAAGTGAAGTGGGTACCTGATAAGTGAAGTGGCTACCTGATACGGGAACTGGGTACCTGATAAGTGAAGTGGGCAACAGATAAATTAGCTGGGTACCTGATGAGTGAACGGGTTTGTGACGGACCGCCTGGTACCCTGACTAAGTACCTCCGTCAGAAATCAGTTTCCTCTCCTTGGGAACCTGAATTCCAGTGTCCTCAGCCCAAACCTGCCTAATTATTGGACAGAACCAATGTATTAGGACAGAAAGCTAAACTCCTCAAACATCAGACAACACCAATGTTGAGGTGGAAACCAAGAACTGCTTTATTGAAGAAAGCACACAGAGTTTATACCTCACAGAATCAGATAGGAGTGCAGTGTGTTCACTCCCCTAGACATCCAGGTGCCGCATTGGAAGTCCTTAATTAGATAATAGCTTGATCCCAACACTCTAAACAATGGCCCCTCTAGACAGGCTGCTGCCTATAATGAACACAGGGTCACTTAAATGTCATGTCAGGGGAAACATGCAGTATTTTCACTCCACACATGAACCTAGTAGAATGGTTCCATGCAACCCCAAGAGGTCTGAGGGGGGTCTCCATAGTTCTAGGTCCATAGTCAGTAAGAAGGAGGATAGCCCTCAGGCTCCTCCAGCAGACCCAGTGACGGTTCAGTTCGTCACAGGGTTCACCGGTGAGTGAACTGGTTACTTGATAGATGTACCGAGTACAGCTGGCAGGTACCTAGTACACCCAGAAGGCACCCAGTACACTTAGTCTATTCAACAATATCCATTCTGAAAATCTTCTTTCTGCCATTTGATGGCGGCTCACTTAATCCGGTCAGGGCTGGACAATGATTTCTGTACCAGGGAGCCAGCTCCGGTAGTCATTTCAGTTCACTTCCTTGATGAAATGCACTATGAAATACTACTTTAATATCTTCAATTATTTGAAATATTTCACATGTTTCAGATTAGTAAATCATGCCACTGTGCACATTGCAATGTCTCCAAAAAATGTTCATTATATCACGAGGTATGTCAAGAATTTTGGAAGAAGAATACAATCTGAAGTGAGAGCATGGCTGCTTTTCGTCGGTAACATTTTCATTGTACACCTTACCAACATATGAATCAGCTTTGGAATATTCTAGGTTATGCTCTAGTTCAGAAGTGGGCAATTCATTTTTTCAAGGGGCCACATGAGAAACTGGGACTGCGGAGAGCTGAATCAATAGGGCCCGCAGGTTCGACCCTCCACAACAGTCCCAGCTTTTCATATGATTAACGGATGGTACCGCGCAATGCACCTAAGGTGTGTTACCAATCATTTGAATGGCACCCCAAAAGGCACCTCCCGCAATACTGTGCGTTGTTGTGTGGTTGAAAAAATGAGTGCATGCAACGCACCTGCCGCCCTGTAACACACAATCTGTTTGAATAAGGTATGGCATAGATGGGAACAGGCCCTTATTGTCCCTACATACGATGTGGCACATACCTGCTGCCAGAGGTGGATCTGCAGCAGACAAATACCCTATCATTACAGATGTCCTCCTTTAATGCCGGCGGAAGGGAGACGGCGCAGCGGTTCTAACAACCAATGACTGTAGAGGAGGACCCCAACGTCATTGGTTGCTAGGACCACCCAGCAGGCCTACCAACTAATGACTGCAGAGGAGAAGGGCCTGTGACATCACTGGTTGCTAGGACACAAGCAGTCCTAGCAACGAAGAATGAAGAGGCACACGGTCCAATCACTGACCTGCGCTGGACTATGTTCTGCAGTGGATGCACCGGCCTTGGAGACAGGCGCTTCCTCTGTCTGCCAGGCATAAATGAGCACAGGTTGGCGATTGGCCCGTGTCTGGACCACCAACCAGACAGGCGCAGATAAAGGGCCTGATACAGCCAGAGGGCCCAGCTCTGCTCTATTTCATTATAAAAAATATTGAGTTTAATCCAATTCAGATGTTCCCCTAATGCTCTAATGTTTCCCCCGACATTCATCCTATACACCCAGCTGCCCCTCCCACTGAACTCAATTTTTTTCAGGTATTGTCATCTTCTGAATGGCGCGTGTTCCCAGGTTCCAGCACCGCCCACAATGTCAATTGAAGTTTACACCAAAATTCACTAACAACTCTGCAATTCATTACTAAACCCTACTTGGTGTGAGAATGTATATTTGCTAAACACTGACGGGTTAAAGTGAACCTGTCACAAAGGACATACTGGCATCGCCAATTCTGTTGCCTTTAAGGAAAAAAATAAAAATGCCCTGCAAAATGAGTTTATCTTTACCTGTCCTGCTGCCCGTTCCTGGAATCCTGGAAACCTCACCATCTCGCAGAGCAAAGTTAGCAACAGAATCTTCACATCCGGATGCCTGTATCCCCTGTTCTGCACTGTGTGTTGTCTACCAACCTCTACGTTATGACAGGACATAGTAGTAATATGTAGTGAATGTCTGGGGGATTCACCTATCAAGTTGTCCTGGGGCCCATTGCCACAATGATGACTGATCCAAAATGTTATTGTAGAGCATGAAAATGGGGGGAAAGTTTCCAATGGGGACCCCTGTTCCAGTAACAACTGTCTGAACAGACCTCCACTCACTTTGGAGAGATCTTCTCTCACTTCCTGTTGTGTCTCAGGGACAGGAAATTAGTGTTTAGATATGTTCACTTAAACGCCTAACACATCCTAAGGATTCAGTCACACCAGCGGCTGCTCACTGCTTCCAGTGTTGGCGGTCCTTACTGGTACAC